CCATACTTATAGGTAACTTTGAAAAGAAATGAAACACGACTCACTTAGCAAACGCTTCATTTACTTGGCCTGGATCTCCTACAAGACCGGAGAGTACGAAATGTGACGAATAGTCTGACGACGGTCCTGCCAGCAAGGATCGACCGAGTCCATCAGCTGGAGTCAACGTAGCGAAGGTGTCGTTTGTTCCAGATGTTGACGTACAGCGTTCACGATGACCACGATTTCCGAGCACTGATGGCAACGATTCCAACGAGCAAGATGACAGTGCATCGTCGTCTACTGAAAATGTTTGCATTAGAATCTGGAGCATTTCAGGAACACCGAAAAATTATATATTCATTTAATTTATATTGTGGTGATGAGGAAAATTCGCCGGTTCGGTTGGGAAAGGCATATTGGGCGACGCGCAACAGGCATTATTATTCAATTCTTATTACTCTATTCTTCAGTATTCTTTAGCTACAGCTACTGTAGACTAAAATACACCATGAGCTTAGGAAAACAGTATTCTAGACTTCGCATAAAACTGAATGTACACAGTACGGAGGGCACTCAGCACTGCTCAGCTCACGCCTAGGTGGCACCTTGTTACAGGTCGAGAGTGGAATTTAGGGTTGCTCCCTGGCCTGGCACCGGAGCTTCCTCATGTTCATAAATCGGCTTACGGTATGCCAAATTGTACGCGTTCACGGCCCAACACATTTGATTTCGGGGGCAAATTACGGGGGCACTGTATCCCGCTTATTTTCTTAGACTTTTGATCTTCTATGCTGTACCACTTTCATGCTATTCAATTAGGTCGTGGTGCGAATGTCGCGCACACAACACCAATTACATTGCCACTTCAGCCGCTTGTACGCAAAATGTCTCATGACTGGCACCAAAGGGATGCTGTACAGTAGTTAGGAAACAGTGTAAACACCAGTCTGGCTCAGACCTTTTGACCCTTTGAACCACCTCCCCCTCTTGAACTGCACTGAATACAAGCCACGGTATAACAGCCACCGAGCTGTGAGGTAACGGATAGCGCACATGCCCCCAAAAGCGTAAGGTGCAGGTTGGAGTCCGCCTGGGATCAAAACTTTTGCTCATACCTTATCATTCGTGTTATAGCATTAAATATACTTTATTCCAGTAACGGTCGAATGCTCCCTGGAAACTCCATCGAATCAATAGCCTATATTTTACAGACTTTCCCCGAGATTCCACACTTCCCCCATTCATGCCAAACTCTCACGAATAGTGGGACCTTTACATATCTCATAAATTTTTAGTTTCTGGGAAGAAGAACGTTGAGTTCTGTCGCGGCTCGTTCTATTATATTGTGTAAAGTACTTAACACGCATTCTTATAGGCTGTTTGCTGTGTAAGCATGTTGTTTCTCGAGGTTGTTAAAATGTTCCCGGCAGTTCCGGGCCAGTTACCGGTGCTAGGTTGTCAGATCATGACCAACAGCTTGTGTAAAGTGGAATGACGCTTAGCTGACTATGAAGTCAAGAACGCAGCCGTGGTGTAACCAATAACAATTAATCTCGTCTGAAAAATGGACCAGTTGCCACCGTAGCGCGTTCGTTCTATTGGAAAAGCAATTGCTGCAGCAATGGGCACAGCTCAAATCATCTGTATGCATCGCCCACCAGCACTTACAATGAATAATGGGTACGAACGAGTCATCAACCATTACCAATTAATGCACTGCACTGATCTTCTTTAATCCTTCGTTCATAGAGGGTTGAAGAATAAAGTTTCCCCACATAGATCTGTTAAAGAATAAAGTTTCCCACATAGTTAAAGAATAAAGTTTCCCACATAGATCTATCTCTTGGTGGGATACTCTGCTCTTCCCCAGAATATTGTGCGCTGGTCGGCTTGCGTGGTTGAGACGGGGGGGGGGGTGCACTTTGGCTGGTTCTTCTCATTAAAAGGATAAAGGATAAAGTCTTCGCCGTTGATCAATCCCTTTGTGGGATGCGGCACGCATTCTACTTCCATTCAGAATCGTAGTGGCTTATTGAATGCGATGTGGCCTATACAATGACTTGCGGTGGCCAGCCGATGTACAAGTCAGTGTTTTATCCTCCCAGACGAATCTGGTACCAATTTACCGTCCCCGGAGGGTAGAAGGCTTGGTTGGCCTGGGCGGGTGTCGACCCGGGATTCGAACCCGGCGCCGCGCGAGTGGTAAGCGCGCCACTTGTCACTACACCACCTCCGTTCTTCTCATTACTCCTGTTGAATTACAAGGCCCATCATGTGAGACCTGTAGACTCCTGCCCATGGTTAACAAAGCTCTTGCTTCTGCAAAGATTTACTGTAGTTCACAGATCTTCAAAGAAAGCATCAGCAATGACCCAAGGATCGATGAGAACCAACAAAGCGCCCCACCAAGCCGACCTGTGCCGCTTTTTGCGTTTAGGCTCGTACAATGGCTTCGGGGTGAGGGAAGCAGTCGATGTACAAGTCAGCATGATCGCCCACACCCACATCTGGTACAGAATTACCGGCCTCAGAGGGGTTGTAGACTCAAGGTTAGTTGGCCCGGGTAAGAACCACTTGTTATTTGACTCCTGAACCGCCCGTGGGCTCCGTAACTTGCCTCTTCACCACATCTGCTGATCTGATCTGTTCACAACTGTGAATTTTACAATAAATCGGATCTTAGTAGGGGTATTTGACATCAAAAGGCACTTCCAAGCGGTCGTCAGCTTTAAGTGGGAACAAAACACCGCCATCTCCAAGAAGCCTCAGCTCCGCTCACGGCCCCACTTTCAATCAATGCCAAAACATCGGACGTTCTTGGACGATTTCCTGCCCTGAATACGCTGGTAACAGCAAAATAACGTCCTGCCAGATCCAACCGGGACGGGGAAGTTGGTTCGGCTTAAGCACGCAACTTCAATTTCTGATAACACAACGCGGCAGTGAGCCTTTCCCCCCCCCGTCAATCACGAGCTCCAAACAACTACGTTCATGACTGCATCTTAAACAAACCTCTACTTTAGCTGGCTTTTTGGTTTTTATGAGGACCAAGAATCTTTCACTGGCCGTAAAAACCCAAAAATAAGAACCTAAAGTCCTCAAGACCCCATGGAATATGTCATTCGGTCCACGATAGCTCCTCATTAACTTTGGAATTGAAGGTTACCACTACGAGTTGATGTGGTTATTCTGTAGAGGCAAAAGCTCCGCGCCGAAAAATAGGAAACCTTTATGGAGCAACTGGCATTTGGCTCCCATTTCAATCACGGGGTATTTGCACGAAAGCATAATTGCAGATCATGTTCTATGATTTATGAGGACAAACTCAGGTCCCGGAGAATGTTTTTATACTTCCATATTAAGCCGCACCTTACTTCCATCGACTTGGGCGACAGATGACTCGGAGGTGTGAGCTTCTCCTCGAATAATCTGACTCTCAAAAATTTTATAATACGAAGCAGCATCTATATGCTACCCACCGGGAACATTCCACGGTTTGGGAAAACGAAGAACGCCCCAAATAACAACAAAAACATGATGCATTAGTTTGGGTCTTCTATGGGTGGCACTTGGAAGGAAATTCCTCCTGCTCTGGTTGCCGACAGTCCATGGCCCTCCTTTCCATACCTACATCTTTCCCTTTAAAATTCCAACGGCATAATTACGCATATTATACTGGTCAAAATTTCTAGCTGCTCCCGCACGAGTCCAGTTATTTCCTCCCAGGAAACACCTGCGCTTCGGTGAGTGGGGAGGGGGGGGGGGTATAAGCGCACATGGAACAGGAACAAACATTATTCTCACAAGCAAATACGACCCCTTTCCTCAAGCAGACCAAATATGACCCCCCTCGCCCGCTTTCCCCCTTCTATCGGCGATTCCCAACGTAAAACATATCCGGCCCAGTCCCATGCTTAGCGAGCAGATTTGGCACAAACTAAGGCGTAGTTTGGCTTCGTGGGGGTAACAAATGGCACCTAATGAAGCCTGTGCAGAAGACCGTGTGAAAGCCTGCTAATTCTTCGCAGATCACAAGCCACTGTGTCCATGCAGAGCCTTCACTTAAAGCAGTTTGCGGTCTCACCAGGAAATTGCATTGGAGGCGAATCAAAGACGTGAAAATGTCCCTCCTCAAGTCGAACGCGCATCTAAAAGTTTTTTTTTTTTTTTGACCATTAAGACGGTCCAAAAGAGCAAGCAACTGCTACAACGCTCTCTAGTAGACGCCCTACAACAACGTTACGCTATCCGTGCCGTCAGAGCGACCTCCGAGGCTCCTGGCTTCCCAGTACATACGCATTTGGTAAAGAACCATATTTCCGGCATCTTCATTCATCGGTCCACAGATATGTTTGGGCCGTTGCTTTGCGCACACGACGTATTAGGCTGTCGGGCAGTCATAAAAGCACTATCTTCTTGTCCCTAATCCGACCCCAGAAAAGGAACGTTTCAATGACAAGACAGCCCAGGAGAGACGTGGCATTGTTCACAGGAGTAAACGATTGAGATGCACAAATTCGTAAACGATAATCTTCCTCAAGCGACGCCGCTGACAAAATGTTAATTTTCAAACAGATATATTCAGAATTTTAGGACGAGAGGTTCTCGGATATACTGATATATATAGTATATAGGGCTAACTATATGTATATATGTATTACACCGGACTATAACTACTATATTGAGTATAGGTATAGGGTATAATACGGTAATATATGATAGGGCATGTATATATATAATATAACTATCTATATAGCAACTAGATACTACTATGGTGAGTGTAGGCCTAGTAGTCAGGCGTATGGAAAAACACAGCTGTCTCTGCGGCAAGCTTCTGACGACGCTATACTAGTAGGTAAATTATATATACTCATAGCAATACTTCTAGTAAGTGATAGTCGACGTGAGCTATATAATTTATGATATATATAATACTATATAATACATTATACTATATCACGCCCCGCGTACTGGTATACACAACAACAACTGTCGTGGCCACGTGGTCTGCAACACGACGCCATTTCCCAGAGACCCACTAAAATCTACCTAATCCCAGCATTCGCTCCTAGCAACCGGGTCGTTCCTTTGTAATGATTCCTTTCACGCATTTCCTTGACAGTTCCCTTATATGTTAGGATGTCGCAGCGCAGTTCGGCTTGGGGGGGGGAGGGCACCGAATGGTACTCAGCTAAGCTAGAACAGGCCACCTCGTGAGGACCTGCAAATCCCTGTGAGTGGTTCACACGAACAATTTCGCAGCTTCACAGGACTTTACAGGTCTAAACAAATTGGGCATGTTAGTTAACACAAACCAACAAAAGGAATTAG